TCACCGATTTTTCCGGAGAGTTTAGCGTCGGAAGAAGCAGGGAAACTCACGGCGGAGTTTATCGCCGGAGAATTGATCAACGGAGGCAGTGAAGAAGCGATAGTTAAGGCATTAGTGGAGATTCGAGTTCTCACCAAAACAAGTAGTTTTAACAGATCTTGTTTGGTTGAGTCCGGTGTTGTGGAATCGCTAATGAAGATTCTTCGTTCGAGCGATCCAAGGATTCAAGAGAACGCCATGGCTGGGATTCTGAATCTATCCAAAGATATCGCCGGAAAAACTCGAATCGTCGGAGACGGCGGTGGATTGTGGACCATCGTTGAGATTCTCAACGAAGGAGGTAGAAAAGAGAGTAGACAATATGCAGCAGCTGCTCTGTTTTATCTATCTTCTACCGGAGATTACAGCAGATTGATCGGAGAAATCCCAGATTCGATTTCAGGATTGGTGAGAATCGTTAAAGGTTGCGATTACGGAGATTCAGCGAAACGTAACGCGTTGATCGCGATTAGGAGTTTGCTGATTCATCAACAATCCGATAATCACTGGCGTGTGCTCGCTGCCGGAGTTGTTCCCGTTCTTCTAGATCTCGTGAAATCAGAAGAGATCAGCGACGGAATCACGGCGGATTCGATGGCGATTCTAGCGAAAATGGCGGAGTATCCCGACGGGATGATCTCTGTGCTCCGTCGTGGAGGATTGAAACTCGCGGTGAAGGTTTTGGGTTCGTCGGAGGTTTCGCCGGCGACGAAACAGCACTGTGTTGTTCTGATTCTGAATCTGTGTGTTAACGGAGGGAGTGACGTCGTTGGAGCATTAGCTAAGAATCCGTCGATCATGGGGTCGCTTTACACGGTGTTAAGTAACGGCGAATGTGGATGTGGGAAAAAAGCAAGTGCTCTCATCAAAATGATACACGAGTTTCAGGAGAGGAAAACCGGTACGGTTGAACCGGTTCTAGAAAGAGGACGGTTCGTACATGCCTGGTGATTTGGTACACAGTAATAAACTCTTTGAGCTTTTTTATCAAAGAGTTTTTATAACTACATTTTTTTATAGGTTAAGGATGAAATACTATTTATATTTATATAGTTTACATATACAGTGTATCTGTAAATGTTAGCTCTGGGATTTTTTAATAACCCAAAGAGCTAATACAATTGTAATCAGTTTCTGGTTTTGAAAGAGAAGTTGTGTGCAATATCAAATGTATACTCTAATTATACTATTGATATCTGGAAATAAATGAAGAGAAAACATTTGCTAAAGTATATTTTATTCACTAGAGGGAAGAGCCATTGTACTTAGTAAAAGTGAATGAAGTAATCCAACAGTTTCAACATTTTGGCGCTGTTTTGGAAGAGCTCGTATGTTATTGATATTCTTTATTCGTATAATAGATTGATTGATGCAAAGATTATAGTGGGGGCTTCTATGTACTTCATGAGATTTG